AAACACACCACCATCAGAGACGCACGACCCTCACATCTAGAGACAGCCAAGACTTCAACAGCTATGCAGAAAGTGGAACCCCACAGGAAGAAGGATACAAAACTACAGGGCTTCAGGAAATCCTTTCCACCTCTAAAATTAGTCTGATCTCTGGCTTTGGGAAAGGTGGAACAGCAAAGGTCATGTTGTCACTCTGGTTTTCAGGCCAAGAACACTCAACCACGCCTAGGTAAGCCACAGAATGGGAACTTGAGAAGGAACTGGTTCAAGTCCGTAGCTCACAGTAGCCCATTCCACCTGAAAATTTTCTCTCCCTTTCAGTAAGAGTCTTCTCTTCTGGCTCGGCACCTGCAGCTCAAGTGGCTAAGTCATGGCAGGTACCTGTAGTCCCAGCTACTTGGGAGGCGGAGGCAGGAGACTCGCTTGAGCCCAGGAGTTGGAGGTTGCTGTGAGCTGTAATGCCATGGCACTCTACCTAGGGGGACAGCTTGAGGCTCTGATTTAAAAAAAAAAAAAAAAAAAATGGCCAGGTGTTGTGGCAGGCGCCTGTAGTCCTAGCTACTTGGGAGGCTGAGGCAGAAGACTCGCTTGAGCCCAGGAGTTGGAGGTTGCTGTGAGCTGTGATGCCATGGCACTCTACCTAGGGGGACAGCTTGAGGCTCTGATTTAAAAAAAAAAAAAAAAAAAAATGGCCAGGTGTTGTGGCAGGCGCCTGTAGTCCTAGCTACTTGGGAGGCTGAGGCAGAAGACTCGCTTGAGCCCAGGAGTTGGAGTTTGCTGTGAGCTGTGATGCCACGGCACTCTACCCAAGGCAACAGCTTGAGGCTCTGTCTCAAAAAAAAGTCCACATCCTAATCCATGGAAAACATGGCTATGTTACCTGCAAAAGGGACTTTGCAAGTGTGACCAAAGACCTTGAGACAGTGGGAAATTATACTGAACTATCCCACTGGACCTGATATAATCATACAGGTCATCAAAAGCACAGAACTATTCCCAGTTATGGTCACAGATGAGACCACAGAAGAATGATCAGAGGAATGCAACACTGGTGGCTTTGAACATGGAGGAAAGGGCCACAAGGCAAGGAGAGTGGCAGCCCCTAGGAGCTGGAAGAGCAAGGAAATAGGTGCTTCCCTAGAAACCTCCACCAAGGAAAACAGCCTTGCCGATACACTGATTTTAGCCTAGTGAGTAACACTTCAGATGTATAACCCACAGAATTATAAAATAATAAATATACGTTATTTAAGCCACTGAATTTATACTTTGTTATAGCAGTCACAGATAACCAATATATACACATTAAACAATTTCTCATAATAAGTGAAATTACCTAGAGAAGAAAAGCATAATCAAATTGCCCAAATATTTGAAGCCATATAAGGAAAAGTGATTTGTACATGTTGCCAAATACTTCATTTTTATTTCCTTCCTGCCTGACAAAATTCCATTCGTTTAAAAGCCAGCCCAAGTGACAATTCTTCAAACTTCATGTAGAAGAATGAGACACATTAATCATAAAAATGGAACACTCAGAGGCCCAGGAGAATGGCTCACACCTGTAATCACAGCACTTTGGAAGTCTGAGAAAGAAGACTGCTTGAGGCAAGGAGTTTGAGACCAACCTGGGAAACACAGACACCACGTCTACAAAAGAATTTTTTTAACTAGCTGGGAGCACACCTGTAGTTCCAGCTACCTGGGAGGCTGAAAGAGGAGAAACGCTAAGCCCAGGAATTCATGCTGCAGTGCACTATGATCGAATCACTGCTCTCCAGCATGGGAGACAGAGCAGGACCATGTCTCTAGGCGGGGGAAAAAACAAAACACTCAGGATAGCAATATCTAATGGAAAAACTAGGAGACAAATACACTATTCTTGCAGAGAGTCTTCCCCTGTATCAAAGGGATGCTACCTTTTTGGGGGGGAGGGGGAGACAGAGTCTTACTTTGTTGCCCTCAGTAGAGCATCATAGCTCACAGCAACCTCAAACTCTTGGGCTCAAGTGATTCTCTTGGCCCAGCCTCTCCAGTACCTGGGACTACAGACACCTGCCATAACACCTGGCTATTTTTAGAGACAGGGTCTCCCTCTTGCTCAGGCTGGTCTGGAACCTGTGAGCTCGGGCAATCCACCCACCTCAGTCTCCCTGTGTGCTAGAATTACAGCCATAAGCCACGGAGCCCAGCCAGGACTCTACCATTTTTTAAAAATACAGGCCAGATGCAGTGGCTCAGACCTACAATCCCAGCACTTTGCAAGACTTAGCCAGGAGAATCACTTAAGGCCAGAAGTTTAACACCATCCTAGGCAAACATAGGGAAACCTAGTCTCTACAAAATATTTTTAAAATTAGCCAAGAATGGTAGCACACACCTTGCTACTTGGGAGGCTGAGGCAGGAAAGATTGCTTAAGCCAGAAGTTTGAAGTTACAGTGAGTTATAACTGTGGGCAAGTGCAGATCACTGGAGCAAGAACCTATCTCTACAAAACAAAATAAATTTGGCTCGGCGCCTATAGCTCAACCGGCTAAGGCGCCCGCCATGTACACCTAAGGTGGCGGGTTCGAATCCCCAGCCTGGACCTGCCAAACAACAATAATGGCTACAACCAAAAAATAGCCGGGCGTTGTGGCGGGCGCCTGTGGTCCCAGCTACTTGGGAGGCAGAGGCAGGAGACTCGCTTGAGCCCAGGAGTTGGAAGTTGCTGTGAGCTGTAATGCCACGGCACTCTACCCAGGGGGACAGCTTGAGGCTCTGTCTCAAAACAAACAAACAAACAAAAAAAAAACAAAATAAATTTTAAAAGAAATGTACAGAAAGTCCTTCTAGATATTGCTAATATTAAGAACTTTACTATTAATTTTTGTAAATGTACTGATGATATTGTGGACGGAGTGACTCTGTCTTCTCTTGATATATATTTACAGATGAAATGGTATGCCTATGATTTACTTTGAAATAATTGGGAGTAGAGACAGAAATGGATGGAGATAGCGATGAAACTAAATTGGCATGAGTTAATACTTATTGGAACTGGGTAATCTGTATGTGGGAGTGCATTACATTATTTCACTGTTTGAACTTTTTTTTGAGACAGAGTTTTACTCTGTTCCCCTGGATAGAATGTGGTAGCATCACAGCTCACAGCAACCTTGAACTCTTGGGCTCAAGCAATCCTCTTGCATCAGTTTTTTATTTTCAGTAGAAATGGGGTCTCACTCTAGCTCAGGCTGAACTCGAACTAATGAGTTTAAGCAATCTGCCTGCCTCAGCCTCCCAGATTGCTAGTGAGCCACCACTCCCAGCCTTCAACTCTTCTAAATTTAAAAGGTGCAAGAAGGCTGGACAAAGTGGCTCATACCTGTAATCCCAGCACTTAGGAGGTTAAGGAGGGTGGGACTGCCTAAGCTCATGAGTTCAAGACCAGCCTGAGCCAGAGCAAGACCCCTTCTCTAAAAAATAGCCAGGTGATATGGCAAGCACCTGTAGTCCCAGCTACTTTGAAAGCTGAGACAAGAGAATCACTTAAGCCCGAGAGTTTGAGGTGCTGTGAGCTATGATGCCACCACACTCTATCAATGTCGACAAAGTGAGACTCTTGTTTCAAAAAAAGAAAAAAAAAGTGCAAGAACAAAAAAAAATCCTTGACCTATCTGTCGTAACATAGACTTCATAATAGCTGATCTCTTGCCTAGTAACATTGCCCCAACCTGAATTCTCTGCCACTTAATCCACTTGCAACCAATAGCTTCGTCAATTACTCTTCTTTAATCCCAATTCATTTTGCCCTATGTATTAACTTTATGAGCTTAAGCAAGTCACCTAACCTAAAAGACTGGTTCTTTATTTGCAAAATGAGAATACTCGCACTTGCCAAGCCTATCTCTGAGTTGCTGAGAGGATTATCTAAAATAAAAACTACACAGCTAGAAATCCACATATTCATAAATTTCATCCTCTAGATCCTCTTACCTTCCACCTTCAGTTCCCCTTTTGAGCTGTCATCAGCCCAAGCCCCTGGGTTCCTTCAGTAAGGTTACACTTCTCTCCACCACCTCCACTCCCCAAGTTTTTCCTATCTTTTAGCACAGAGCCCTCTCTACACACCTCTCTCTCCAACTTCCACTCTTCTCTTTGAAGGTTCTCACTCTATCTGCCCCCCAGTCAGTATATCCTGAGTACACCCTTTGCTAACTCTATTGCCATCATCCCACCTCTTCTCCACCCCTTTTCAATACTTTGATCCAATCAGCTTTACCACCCCACCACCTTCAAACCCCACTATTGCCCCCAGTTCACAAATATCCACCCTTTCACCCGTAAACACAATTCCTCACAAAAATTTATGGGACAGGAAGCAGATTTGGTAGTTGCAGTGCGGCGGGGTGGGAGGAGAAAAGGAATGAGGAGTGATTACTAATAGATATAGGCTTCTTTGCGGGGGTGATAAAAATGTTCTAAAATTAGATGGTGGTGACGGTTTCACAACCCCGTGAATATTCTAAAACCACTAACTTGTACTGTTAAAGGGTGAATTTTACGATATGTGAATTACATCTCAATAAAATGCGTACGTAAAAAAAAAAAAATCAACAACTATTGCTCACTCTACCCATCACACGCCCATGTGTCAAGCCAACACTGCCCCATCTCCGGAAGCATCGACCCGCCCTTTGGTATCCCACCGAGTCCCAACACCAGAGCGGGACAGAGGTCCCTCCCACTCTTGGTCAACACACCCCCTCGCCGCTCCGTGGGTAGAGAGCTGGTGGGGCCCGCTCTCGTAGCTCAGACATAGCGCCTGCGGGATGGCCCAGGTCCCCGCCAGCAGAGAAGGGCCCTTCGCCGCCGCGCTGGCGGAGCTGCCCTCACTTCCCGGCGCTGACCCGGAGGGGTGTCCCCTAACGCGCTCTGACAGGGGGCGGGGGCGCGGGAGGGGGCCCGCCGGGCTTCCCAGCAGGGCCGCGCTGCTGGGGGCGGCGCCACAGCCCACCTGTCTTAGCTGGCGGGGAGATGTGGTTCCAGCACGGACCGACCTACAGGCTGGTGGCAGAGGGAATCCGTAGAGCCTGCGGTCGCCGCCGCAGCCCAGGGTGGCGCACGCCGGCTCAGGCCTCCATGTTTCCAAGTCTCTCCGGGTCCGGCTCTGGCTCCGGCTTCAGCTGCAGCTCGGATCCGTCTCAGCTCCAGCCCCGGCCGCGTCGGTGCGGAGACCGGGAGGCGGCGAAGGAAGAGGGAAGCGACCGTGAACGCGGCTGGGGACCGAACGGCTGGGCGCGCGCCTGCCGGGCGGTCACGTGGCGCGTGAGGCGCGGGGGCCTCTGGGAAATGTAGTTCCTCAGCTGTGCCTGGTTTCGCCACCATCCTAGCACCTCCTGGACAGCCACAAAGCCACGTGGCCAAATCGCTGGAGTCCTCACTTACCCTACACCACTTGGTCTGGACACATAGGCCTGTTAAAATAAGCACCTGTTAATTCCAACGTAATAACCATCCCTTGGGCCCAAGGGTGCACACGCCCATAATCCTAACACTCTGGGAGGATGGGGTGGGTGGATTGAGCTCTCGTATTTGAGACCAGCCTGAGCTAGAGCCAGGCCTGGTCTCTAAGACTCTATTTCAAAAAAATAAAAATAGCTGGGCTATTTTTGTGGCGGGCACCTGTAGTCCCAGCTACTGGAGGGGCTGAGACAAGAGAATCACGTAAACCCAAGAGATTAAGGTTGCTGTGAGCTATGCGCCAGGGCACTCTACCAAGAGTGACAGAGTAACAACATGCTATTTCGAAGAAGAAAAAAAAAAGAAGAGGCTCGGCGCCTGTGGCTTAAGAGGCTAAGGTGCCAGCCACATACACCTGAGCTGGCGGGTTTGAATCCAGCCTGGGCCCGCCAAACAATTACGGCTGCAATCAAAAAATAGCCGGGCGTTGTGGCAGGCCCCTGTAGTCCCAGCTACTTGGGAGGTGGCGGCAGGAGAATAGCTTAAGCCCGGGAGTTGGAGTTTGCTGTGAGCTGTGATGCCATTGCACTCACCCAGGGCGACAGCTTGAGGCTCTGTCTCAAAAAAAAAAAAAAAAAAAAGAGAAGAAACATAGGCCAAGGCCGGGTGTTGGTGGCCTAAAATCCTAGTACTCTGAGAGGCTGAGGAAGGATCCCTCCAGCTTAGGAAGTCAAGACCAGCCTGAGTATGACTGAGACCCTGTCTATACTAAAAACTGAAAAACTAGCCAGGCATTGTGGCAGGTGCCTATAGTCCCAGCTACTTGGGAGGCTGAGACAAGAGGGGTGCTCAAGCCCAAGAGTTTGAGATTGTTTTAAGCTGTGATCCCATGGCGTTTTCTCTACCCAGGGTGTCTGAGTGAGACTCTAAAAAAAGAGGGAAAGAAGGAATATATTTCTTATTATGGTGTGTGACATACCTCTTGAGGGTGGACACAATTATAAGAGGGCTTTTACCTAACAAATGCAAGCAGTGTAATCTGGTTCTTTGTACTCTCAATGAATCCCCAACAATAAAAAATATATATACAATTGTATAGATAGTGATTCCCCTATTTGGATCTGGGCAAAGTAAATGAAAAACCTTCTGGAAAAGTTTCACCACTCTAGCTAACATTAAGAACATTAGTGATTTGGGCAGCGCCAGTGGCTCAAAGGAGTACAGCGCCGGTCTCATACTGGGACGGGCTGGGTTCAAACCCAGCCCCAGCCAAAAAGTGCAAAAGAACATTAGTGATTCATGAGAAGAAGTCAAAATACCAACATTAGGCTGGATATAGTGGCTCATGCCTATAATCCTAACTCAGAAAGCTGAAGCAGCATGATCACTTAAGGCCAGGAGTTCAAGACCAGCCTGGGCAATATAGCAAGGCCCACATATCATTGCTAAAAAATAAATAAATAGGCCAGGTGCAGTGGCTATGCCTGTAATCCTAGCACTCTGGGAGGCTGAGGCAGGTGGATTGCTTCAGCCTTCCAAGTAGCTGGGACTACAGGCACCTGCCACAACACCCAGCTATTTTTTGTTATTGCAGATGTAGTTGTTTAGCTGGCCCGGGCTGGGTTCAAACCTGCCAACCTCAGTGAATGTGGCTGACGCTGTAACCACTGTGCTACGGGCACAGAGCCTGGGCTCCAATTTTGAAATAAGTTCTGCTATGGATGAAATGCTATCAAAAAGCATCTCAAGGTATAGAGATATCTTTCACATTAGGAAAAGTCAAACAATGTGGCAGATTTCAGTATTTGTCTTACTTTAAGAAATTGCCACAGTCACCCCAGCTTTTAGCAGTCACCACTCTGATCACTCAGCAGCCATCAACATCAAGGGAAAACTCTTCACCAGCATAAACATTACAACTTACTGAAGGCTCCTGTGATTATTAGCACTTTTTTTTTTTGAGACAGAGTCTCATTCCATCATGCAAGGATTGAGTACCATGTCATGACAGCTCACAACCTCAAACTCCTAGGGTCAAGCAATCCTCTTGCCTCAGCCTCCTCAGTAGCTGGGACTACAGGGGTCTGCCACAACACTCATCTAGTTTTTCTGTTTTAGTAGAGATGAAGTCTTGCTCTTGCTCAGGCTGGTCTTGAACTCCTGAGCTTAAGCTCTTGCTCAGGCTGGTCTTGAACTCCTGAGCTTAAGCAATCCACCCACCTCAGCCTCCCAGATTGCTAGGATTACAGGCATGAGCTGCTGCACCCAGCTTGTTAGCACTGTATTTTTAAATTAAGGTATGTGTATATCTTTTAGACATAGTCCTATTGCACACTTAATAGACTATAGTATGGTGCAAAATATAACTTCTGTATATATTGGAGAACCAAAAAATTCACATGACGTGTTTTATTGAATTATTCACTTTCTTGCAGTGGTTTGCAACTGAATTCATGATATCACCATGTACATATGACTGTAAATGTTTTTAAGATATACATTTTATTGAAAAAAGAAAATAAAACAGTACATAGTGCATGTACCATTTCTCTAAAAATATAGAAAGTAAAATACATACATAGGTATGTATTTGCTTGTGCATACAGAGAACATCTCTGGAAAATAAATAAGAAACTGGTGACCTCGAATGCCTTCTGAGAGGTAACTGGGTGCTTGGAAACCATTGTAGGAAGGAGAAATCTTTGTGTGAACTCTTGTGCCTTGCAAATTTTGTACCTAGTGACTATATCACCTATTCAAAAAATAAGTACAATTAAAAAACTTTAAAGACTTTAGAATAAAAATTTAAAAATAGATAGGGTGTGGCTCAAATCTAAAATACCCTATGAGGTATCAGATGACTGTGAACTCAGTAAGTAGAGCAGACAGCTAAAAGAGTTTGCTTGCATTCTGGAGAGTCAGTTTAGAGGCAGTAAAAGGGAAAAATCAGCAACTATTTATCTATTTGTTAGTTTATTTATACCTTTCTTCCTAAAACTACTTAAGAAAACTTGCAAATAGGCCCAGCGTGGTGGCTCATGCCTATAATCCTAGCACTCTGGGAGGCCAAGGCAGGTGGATTGCCTGAACTCACAGGTTGGAGACAAACCAGCCTGAGCCAGAGCCAGAGCTGGTCTCTAAAAATAGCTGGGTATTGTGAGGAGCACTTGTAGACCCAGCTACTTGGGAGGCTGAGGCAGGACAATTGCTTGAGCCCAAGAGTTTGAGGTTGCTGTGAGCTATGATGCCATGGCACTCTACCAAGGGCAACAAAGTGAGACTCTATCTCCAAAAAAAAGAAAACTTGCAAATAAATGTACATGAAATACACAAAATTGGAACATTAAAAGCAGGAGGAAGGCTCGGCACCTGTGGCTCAAGTGGCTAAGGCGCCAGCCACATACACCTAAGGTGGCGAGTTCGAATCCAGCCCAGGCCTGCCAAACAACAATGATGGCTGCAACAACAACAAAAAAAAA